AAGCAGGATTCTCTCCCCTGCCTGACCTGGCCATCTGTTGCTCTGTGACTAAAGACATCTCTACATTGTCCTGCTGACCCAGGCCTGTTAACTTCCCACCAGAGCTCTGCCCACTACACAACTTCACCTCCCTAGTCAACTGTTAGTCAAGGCTAAATGCCAAGGTGCAGATCAGCCAGGAAGAAACAAAACTAGTCTTTTATCCAGGTCAGAATGATACCCACAGATATCTCAGGGGCACGAAGGGAAGGGAAAGACATGGTTCTGGCAGGAGTAAGCTTGGCATGAGCCGAGGCTGGCAGACACCACAATACCTTTGCTGGTAAAATAAACCCAAGGCTCAGCCAAATAATGGGCTCTATGAAGCTCCTGTTTCATTCTGAGTCAACAGCCCCCTTGGAGGAGAGCCCCACCCCAGCAGCCCATCCTGTGTGTCATCAGCTCCTCCCCAGTGCCCTTTGCACTGCCCCCAACACTCTGCCTTTCCTCTAGGCCGGATATGCAATCCCAGCCCCCAGGAGGGTCACCCCTGCCTCAGCACAGCTCCCATTTCCTGCCCCTGGTGACTCCTCTGAAGTCTATTGTTTCCACTAAGTCTGGGTCAAAGGAAGCTGAGTCCCCACCCATGGGGGCCGCCTGCCCACACCAGAGCTGGCGTACTCTACAGGGAGCCTGACCCATCCTCCCACCTTTCCTCCTGCCTTAAAGGCGGAGAATGTGGGCACAGATCTTAGACACTGGAGTTCTAGTGGAAATTTTCCCAAAGATCCTACTATCTGAAGGAATATACAGAAGACTCTGGGCCCATGTCACACAGGTAGTGACTAGAATCTTCCCCATAGGTAGATGAAAAAACCAAAAGCAAGGGAGGAGTTGTCATTTCAAAGAAGGCAAAACTGGAATCATAACATAGAAGTTGGAGACTCTGCTCCCTAGTCACAAAGCCCTGCCCCCACCTCCACCTGGGCCCCAGAGCTGGTAGAAAGCAGGGGGTGGTGGTGCTGGGGAGCAGCTGTTCAGCTCCAATTTCAGAGCTTTAAAGGGAGCTGGCGTCCCAGCAAAGGGTCATAAGGGGGCAAAAGAAGACAGACAAGGTAAAGCCACCCTCACAAGTTTTGAATATCCAACTGCCAGGGAACTACAGGGCAGGCAGCGGACCAAACTGGGTGACCAGTTCCACTGGGAATTGCTTTGTGACAGTCACCAACACAAGGTTCCAGAATGGAAGCCAAAGGAGGACGAGACATATGCCTCCCACAAGCTCTAGAAAGATGGGTGTGCTGACCAGTGAGGAGGAAGGAGGGTAGGTTTTAAAGACCTTCTGTGTTTTCTATGGAACATCCGGAACAGTTCTACTCCCCCACGACCTTATCTTAGCCATAACATGAGAAACATGTCCCAAGTCAGACTATGTCAGACTCCACAGAGCAGGAGACAGAAAACAAAAGCGGAAAGACAGTGGATTCTAGTCTCAGCTCTCACTGGCTGTATGACTTTTAAGCAAGTTACTAACCCTCCAGTAATGAACAGTTTCCCTATTTTTAAAATGAAGAGTTTAGACCCTGAGATCAGAGTGTCCAAAAGTGTACAGCAAGTTCACCCTGGGAACACTAGCAATCCAGGTTTCCTAAGGACGAAGAACACTAATGCTCAATTCATGTTCACTGAATGAATGAATGTTGTTGTTTTTGTTGTTGTCAAGTGCCATCGAGTAGACTCTGACCCATAGTGACCCTGTATAGGGTTTCCAAGGAGCAGCTGGTGAGCTTGAACCACCGACCTTACAGTTCAAACAACTTTGCAGTCTGATACATTAGCCCACAGCGCCACCCCAGGACTCCAAATGAATGAATAGAGCAAGGTTTATCAGTGGGTGTTCAGAGAAACTATTTCCAACATTAGTCCCTAGAAGAAAAGAAGTTCCATGTTGAAACAAGCTTAGGAAACACTGGGTACCATATCTACTGAGTCCCTAGGATGTGCCAAAGCACTGAGCTCAGTGTTGTGCAAACACTGAATTCTCAAAACACACTAATGGGATAGATATCATTACCCCCAGCATCCATCCATATTACTTACCAGGACACTGAGTCTGAGAGCTTACAAGTAGTGATTTGTACTCACAATGGTCTGACCCAATTGTATACCCTAACTCCAGACTTTAGACCAGACTCCCTTGCAGCCCCAGTTACACACCTGGTCTAAGAGGATGCGACAGCTCCTACCAGAACATCTGCATCCTTCAGGGTGGAAGAAAGAACAGAGAATCCCACTACTCTAAGAGTTTCTCACCCCTTCCTTCTAAAAAGTTCTAAACACACCTGCATCATTTTGTTGTAGGACTGAAAAAGGAACTCTGATACCAGGTCCACCTGTGCCACTCCCCCCTCTCCTCCCGTGCAATGTCATTTCTGTCAATCAATCTCCTGGACCCTGTGGCTCTCTTCCTACTTAGTTCACATCACTGGAAAATGCTTCAAATAATAGAAACTCCACGTGGAGCAAAAACATCCCTACTGCAAAGCTGAAAACAAGAGACAAGGAAACCAAAATCCCTCCCCTTGATGTTTACCCAAGGGTCAAATCAGGGGGAGCCCTTGCCTCCCAGGCTGGTACTACAGCCTGCATGCTTCTCACAGGGCAGTGTTGAGTGTCTAACAAGTTGTAAAGGATCAGGGTCCTTTCATGTGATTGCCTGATCAGCCCCAAGGATAGGTGGACCAGTAGAAAGTAGTTCAGATTATTGTTGTTAAGTGCGTCTAGTCAGTACCACTTATAGAGACCCTATAGAGCCGGGGTGGGAAAAATCATTTGGTTTGCCACTCATTGGTTGTGTACAAGGCAACTGCAGTTTCAGACATCACATTGTTGTTGTTAAGTGCCATCAAGTTGGTTCCGACTCATAGCGAGCCTGTATAGGGTTTCCAAGGAGTGGCTGGTGTGCTTGAACTGCCGACCTTAGGGTTCAAACCAACTTAGCAGTCTAGCACATTAACCCACAGGGCCACACCTGGACGCCAGCCATCACATTGGTGGTGGCAGTGGTGGTTATGTGCCCTGAAGTTGGTTCCGACTCATAGCGACCCAGTGCAGGGTTTCTGAGGCTGTAAATCTTTACCAGAGCAGAAAGCCTCATCTTTCTCCCACCGAGTGGTTCGCAGCCCGATTCATTACCACTATGCTACCAGAGCCATCACATTCGGGGTGTGAGTTAATTAAATGTTTGACCAAATATAGCAGACTAAATTTTTTTTTAGCTTTTATTGTGAATTGAGTGATAGTTTACATGTGAGAACATCAGTTTTGCACTCATCCCATTGTATTACGTTTTATTGCAATGATTACAAGCCCCTCCATGCATCATCATTCAACAATATTTGCTTCTATTCCCTCTGTCATTTTTTTTTTTTTATGTACACAAACACGCTCAGGAATATATAATCATTTAAATAACCAAAGGGCACATTCTGCAAGCCTAGCAGGCTAACTTTTAAGCTGATAATTTTGTATGACTTGCTAATGATGTTACAAATTTTGGCAAACAAGTTTCCCCACCCCTGCTCTATAGAGGGCTTCCAACAAGCGGCTGGTGGGTTTGAATCACCAACCTTGTGGTGCAAATAACCTTGTGGTCCAGTGTATTACCCTGCAGCACCACAGCAGATTGGTACGTGGCAATTCTTATTTGGCCTTAGAAACAACTTTAAAGCACTATCTACACAAGTCTCAGGTAGTGTAGTGGTTACTAATCGAGTTGCGAATTGCAAGGTCAGAAGTTCAAAACTACCAGCTGTTCCGCAGGAGAAAGATGAGGCTATCTGCTCCCATAAAGATTTACAGCCTCGGAAACCCTGTACAGGGTCGCTATGAGTCGGAACTGACTCCATGGCACACAGCCACCACCACCACACAAGTCTCAAGATTCAAAATGGTCTCCCTCTTCCTGGGGGACCATTCCCACAAGCTTATCAGCTCTCCTTACCACAGCCCTTCCCACTGCCTAAAGGCAAAGATAGCATCTTGCTTTAGTCTCCTACCAGCTTGTTCTCTAAACTGTCCCAGGCAAGAACAGGATTCACTCTCCCCTCCAAGAAACAGCTGCCTGGAAAGGCAGATGTAGTCAGCTTCCTTCCAGTTCTGCCCAGTTCAAGGGGAATGGAGAATGGGAATGACATACTACAACAAGCATCGTTAAATCATCCTTGCACACTTACAACCAGGCACAGTGTTTCTGGTCCATGGTTATGAAGAACAGTCATCTCCAGAACCAACATCCTCACAAAGAAATACACTTAGAAGCACATCACACACCTACTCAGAGGCACACTGCTTTCAGACAGACAGCACCCTTCTCAAGTAGAAATATGCACACATTCTGTCACTCATGCTCAACACAAACAAATACGCCCACTAGAAGTCAAAGTGAGTCATATGCAAACAGCTAGCACCCTCACTTACACACCAAACTAAGGAGACACAAAGTCAGAGGGCACCTGAACTGACCAGGGGCACATGAACTTACTCAGTGTGACTGGAACCCTCTTACACACATTGCCGGCTTTGGGCATTCTGCTCCCTAGATCTACTAGTCCCCATCATGGAACACAACAGGATTCTCAAACCTAGGAGGTGGCCAATTTTTGTAGAGGTCCCCAATTTTTGCATAGCCTTTGCACGTAAAACAGCCAATACATCTATCTCCAGAGCTCCTCTCTCAGCCCAAAGAAAAGGGGGTCCAGCAGAAAAGGAGCATGGGTGCTGGGTCTCTTCTATCGCTGATGATCTCGGCTCTGCCTCTGGTCCTTTCAGCTCCCAGGACTCCCTTTCCCCAAAGTTCCCGGTATCCCACCGCCGGCCCCGGATGTCCACATCGCCTCCACGTGCCAGCTCTCTCCCTATTCTCATCCTCGGAGAGAGATGCCTGCCCGCTGGCGAAGTCCAGCAAATTCCTAAATCCTCCCGGTGCACCCCCATCCTGCCCTCCACCTCCCCAATCTTACCGGTCCCAGGGTGCGGGAAGGTGAGGTGGGTGCGCTAAGTCTGTTCCAAAGAGTTCGCCCCGAGCGCCAACTCTTCCTGCCTGGACTCTGCCGAGGTCCCGGGAGGCTGGCGATTCCACTGCAGGGACGAGAGAGAGTCAGCGAAGAGGGACTGGGCTCGTCCCCACAGCTGACCAGCCCGCAGGGGAGGAAGATGGGGTGGCGCGCGACCCCGCGCACACCCCGAGGTGCCGGAGCGAAGTTGGCCGCAGCCCCCGGCCCCGGTGCGCAGAGCGGAGCGAAGGAAGGAGGAGTTTTCCCAGAACGGGACTGCCGGGAAACACGGGAGATCCCTATTCCTGGAGGAGTGAGTCAACCGGCAGAGAGGAAGGGAGCTCAGGGGAAAAGGGACTGGGCGCAGGGTCAGGGCGGAAGGGAGAGAAGCCGGCCAGAGATCGATCGAGCGCGCCGGGGGAAAGAGGGAAGAAAGAAGAGAGTTGGAGCGAGAGACGGAAGGAGTGGAGAAAGCTCCAAGGCGGGAAAGGGGAGCGGCGGAAAGAAAAGAGCAAACGGGAGCACGCGGCGCGCGCGGGGCAAGCGGCCGCGGGAAGGGGCGGAGGGCCGCAGGGGCCGGAGGAAGTGGCGCGGCCGGGCGGCAGGCAGGCGCCACTCACCTGAAGCCGGGACGCGGCTGCCGGGCAGCGGGAGCTGGGGGAGCTGTGGGCCCTCCCCACCCCCTGGCTTCAAGTTTGAAAGGAGGAAGGCTGGAATGTGCGGAATGAGAGCTGGTATGAGATGCGCGCAGCTGAGAGAGGGCGGGAGGGAGTGGCGG